TCAGACGAAGCTTTTCTATCGCCTCTGTGGCTGCTTCCAGGACCAGCCTCGCTCTTTCGCAAGTCTCTCGGTCATTACTGTCGAGCTTGAAGAGGTCTTGTATCAGCTCGGCCGAGACGGGCGTTCCCTTTGCGATAGCCATCTCGAACTAGAGCTTGCCTTTATCCCTCATAACGTCTCCTTAAGTGCAGACTTGCCGCACTTTTTTCGTCATCTGAACGCACTTTTCTTTCAACCCTGCAGGAGGCTTTCTTCCGTCGGCTGTGGGAAGGGGAAGTCGCTGTCCACAGCGAGCATGACGGCAGGCTGCTAACGACAAGAACGAGGCTGCTGGGGACCTTCTTCTTCGCAAAGCGCAAGTTCACGAGGGAGCCCATCGACTACCGGGATCCAAAAGATGGGCCGCAGGGCTGCTGCAGGCGGTACGGAGAAGTCCTGGGCCACCTGGTGGAAGTGCGACGTCTGTGTCCCTCTCGCGAGTTCGGCTCCTATCCCAATTGGCCCACAGCGTACCCTCTCCTGCGCAAGCAGCGGCATCTGGAAGAGGCCATCAAGGCCGGGTGCCCCTGCAAACCCTACCTGGACCTGGAGCGAAACGGGGGGCTGCCGGAGGGTGAGACGCTGGAGACGGTTATCCAGGCGTTCGAGGCGGCCACCATCAGCATCTTCCGAGAAGACTACGACATCGAGCTAACCCCCAATTCCTTCAACTGGCTCCCCTGTGACTACGGGCCCGGCGGCAAGTTCAGCCTGCACCTAGTGGTCTCGACCCACTCCCCCCAGTTCGTCTTCCACTCCAACCTAGCTGCACCCGCCGACCATCAGGGCGCGGGGCACCTCGCCAGGGAGCTCGCCCGGCGCCTGCCCCCGCAGTACGCCGAGCTCATCGACCAGTCGGTGTACACCAGGAACCGGGGGATCCGGCTCCCGTACTGTTCAAAGCCCGCAACCCCCCGCAGCCGCCTCATCCCCTTGGACGAGAGCAAGCCGTACGCCGATGCATGCATCACCTGGCTGGACGAACACGTCCAGATCATTCAAGTGCCGACCAGCCTGCCGGACGCGGTAGTCGAGCCTCGACGCCCCCGTACCCGGCCCGAGCACTTTCGGTACCAGAACGCCACGACAGTGAGCGCGTACACGGCCCAGAGGTGTACAGAGCTGGTCCAGACCCTGCATCCGACGGCGTACCGCAGGGGCTCCGTGTCAGCAAGCTCTCTGAACTTTAGCTGGCACGACCGGAATGAGCCGTGCTATTCGGGCAACATCCACGAGGGCTCGCGGGACATCCTCGTCATCGCCGATTCCAAGCGTATTGCTGTCTTTGCCAAGTGTGATAGCGGGCGCCTGGATGCGGGGACGGGCTTGTGCTGCAAGAACCTGCCGGCGCGGTACCTGGGCCCGTTCTACGCGGACGTCGAGACTTGGAAGGACGGGGCGGTTGAGGTAAACATGCGGTACCTGGAGCGCAAGCCGCTGGCCGCGGCGCCCATGGACCTGCAGCTGATTCGCGGCGGGGTCCGGGACCTGACGGACATGGTCGTCTTGAATGACGTGCTCAACAAGTGAGTTTCAGGGCTTTGTGCATGAGCTTGAAATCGATTTGCGACGGCCGCAGCTTGGACAGAATCCAGCCGTCCAACCATGAGTTTGTTGGCCCACACCTTGCCGATTGTTACTAGGTTACCCACTCTTTTCCTCTCCGAACCGTTTGCAAGGTGTGGACCAGCCATTTATAAGTCAGGCCGGCCATGTCTGCCATTTTTTAATTAAGCAAATGGTGGGCACTTTCAGCTCTGGACCACACCCCGTCAATGATCTTTTAAGAAGCCTGCTGTTTCGTCAAAAGAGCCATATGCAAGGTGTGGGCCAGTCCGTTATAAGCCAGGCCGGCCATTTGGGCCATGGAGAAGGATGTGGCAGGCAGTTTCAGTGCGCTGGCCCACACCTTGCCAATTGTTATTAGGAAATCCCCTTCTTGTTCCTCTCTCGGCTTATTGCAAGGTGTGGACCAGCCAATCACTAGGCAAACTCTCATCTGCGGCCGTGATAAGTGTATAGTTTCTTGGAGATGAAGGTCGATTCTCTGGTTGGCTCATGTTGTACCCCCTCCTCCTTGCAGGTGGCAGGCTGGCCGTTACAAGGCGGCCCTGATCAGGAGCCCCATGGACACCGCAAAGTCGACGACCACCCGGGCCATCCTTCAAGAGCCCCCCCGACCAGAGACGGCCCTTGCGATCACCTACCGACAGACACAAGCCAGCGATGCAGCTGGAAAGAACCCTGATTTCGCGCACTACGGCGAATTGAAAACGAAACGGGGGCGCGAGGTCGGGGAGCGCTTCATCGAGCCTCTCGCCGATAGGGAGCTCTATCCGCGCGTCATCTGCCAGGTGGACAGCCTGCGTGGGCTCGTGGGCGACGACAGTCGCGTTCCGGCCTTCGACCTGGTCATTCTCGACGAGAGCGAGTCCATTCTCGCGCACCTCTCAGCCGACACCCTGTCGGTGAGAACCGTCATCATCCGGCTGATCGCCGAGCTGCTTCGCCGCGCGCGCTGGCTCATCTGCCTGGACGGACACCTGGGGCAGCGGACCTTCGACTTCCTGACGCTGCACGGGATCCGCTGTTCTCCCGTGATCATCAACAAGCACGTGCCGAGAGCGGCCTCTCCAGTTCGAGTTCCTTGAGGGGCGGGCAGGGCTCCAGCTGTGGGAGAGCGCGATCTTTGAGGCGCTGGAGGCCGGCCAAAACGTGTTTGTGGCCAGCATGTCGTCAGACAGGGCGTGGAGTTTGGGAAGTGCGGTGGCAGAGCGGGGGCTCGTAGACGAGGGGCAGATTCTCGTCATCACGCGGCACTCTGATGGGGAGGTAAAGCGGGGCCTCGGGAATGTGAACGAGAGCTGGGCAAAGCGGCTCGTCATCATTAGTCCCACGGTGGAGGCAGGGGTGGACTTCAATCGGTCATGGTTCCACAAGATGTTCCTTTACATCTGCAAGAAGAGCACGCACCCGCGCGGGCTTGACCAGATGAAGGGGCGGGTCCGGCAGCTGGTCGACCCCGTGGTCCTGTGCTTTGTCAGGAAGGGCATCAAGCTGCCGACGACGGGGCCAGAGGGAAGCGGGTACAGGACTGTGATGGGGAAGAATGCTGGACGGATCCCGAGGCTTGGAGTCGAGGAAACGTACCAGTGGTTCCTCAACCGGGATGAGAAGGTTGGGGGAGGGGTCTATTGCGAGGGCGCAATCACGCGCCTTCTTGCGCACAACGAGACGGAGCTCTTTAATAGGCCGGACGCACTTCTACGAGGAGTTCACAGAGCTGTTAGAGAGTGATGGCCACATCGTGAGGGGCGTGCGGGTCCTGGACCCGGCCGAGGGGGGGCAGCCGGGCGGAGGGGATCAGAGCCGGGGCAAGTTTCTGCTCGAGCAAATGATCGCCGCCCCTGACATCACGCCTGGTCAGTTCGCCGCCATTGAGGCTCGGGTCCGTAGGAACGAGGACTCCCCGGGGGAGAGGGTGCAGCTGGAGAAGTTTCAGCTGGCACGGTTTCTACCGTGTTCGGCAGTTGGCCGCCGACTTCCTCAAGACGTTCGGCCCTTATCCGAACCTCGCGGTCGAGTTCATCCTGCAGGTCGTCGATCCTCAATACGAATTCGATAGCGAGGAGGTTGGGCGGCACAGCTACGGGCGTCAAAAGAAAGACATCGCGAAGGAACTGCTGGAGGTACTGGGCTTTCCGCACCCCCTCGCCCACGAGCACGTCACCAGGACCCTTGCAGAATTGAGAGAGGAGCTGGCGGCCACCAGCTACTTCCGAGATTACTCTGAGACCGTGAAGCTGTTCTCTGCACGTGCGCTCCCAGGCGAGGATGTCCTGGCGAAGCAAAAGTCGGCCACGATTGCCTTGAACCACGTTTTCTCGGAGCTTGGGTTGCAGCTCGAGGCCGTGCAGACTGGCCGATCGCCGCGGACCGCGGAGGGGCGGAGGGGACCCCGTGTTTATGGGGGGTGGAAGCTGCAGCGGAAGCCGAAGACACGGACTCGGCCAGTCGATGGGCCGGTGGGGGTAGATCTCATGGCCCAGCTGTTGAAGTTGCGATTCAAGGATTCACTTGCTCTGAAGTCGCGAATCATTCCCGCAGCATTGAGAGAGTACGTTGACGGGGTTCCCTTTAGGTGGTTGGCGATGGTGACCCAGAATGAAGAGTGTCAGATTGTAGTTCGGGCTTCTTGATTCAAGGGATGATTCAAGGTAGGATTGAGTGCAGGTATTTGAATTCGCGTCACAGAGTGAGTTATTGACAATCAGATGAGGGCTTCTCACTGCGCCATATTGTGACGATGAGGGTTTCCGGTTAGGACTATGCTTTTATATTTGATTTGCAAAGCAAGTGGCTACTCAAGTTTGACCACACCTTGTTGATGATTGTAAGGAACCTTCATATATGCCAGGTAAAGCCGTATGCAAGGTGTGGTCCACCAAGAAAAGTGTAGATTACGATTTTAGATTTATACCATTTACTTCGATTGTGGCCATTCGAAACATGTCAAAGCATGGCCGTCGGAATGATTGAATTCGAGCACGCCTTTCGATGACAATGATACGCGGCATTCTGTATGGACTTGCTTGTGTTATACAATGGTGTACTTTGAGCGTAATATCATGACACCCGACGTCTCGAACATCCGTCTTTTAAAACTTGCGGGTTTTGCATCGTACATATGCTTAAGAAATAAGCTCAGTTGAACGAAGCAGACTATCCCTCTAATGGAGGAGCTTCCGGGTGGACGTATGCTATTCCGAGCCGTCGGGGTCAGCTTCGACGGCCGTCAGAAACGCATTCGCAAGCTTCGACCCGGACAAGAGCTCGTGCTTCGCAAGCATTCGGGGAACGGGTATGACGTATATGCTATTGGAATATTTGACCCGGCGGATCGCGAGAATCCTTTGGGGTTCATTGCGCGCGACATCAAGGATCATAGAGTGTTCGAGATGGTCCGCCAGAGGTCGGAGATGCCGGCACGGGTGCATCGCATCAATCAAGGCAGAGGCCGACATGGGTTGTGGGGATTTATGGTTGCGATTGCGGACTGCGCAATCTCCTCTGTCGCGGCCTTTCGTACAAGCAACAGCATGCCTCATGTTGATCCTGTCTTTGATGACAGGGTTTGCCAAATTGTGATCGGACGGCGACTTGAAAGTGGCACGTGAGAGGTTATTTAATGAGCGTCTCGAGCAGAGGTTCAAGCTTTCAAAGCCGTACGAGAGCTGTTATATGAAGAATCAAGGCACCCAGAAAAAGTATTGGTACTTTGAGTTTTTTTTTTGTGCACCGTAACCAATAGTCGCATCCATGGATAATATTCTTGGGTATCGCCCCCGATCGCGCTCCGCAATCCTTGAGATGGATCGCTCTGTGCTACAGAGCGCTCGGTCAGCTATTGTAAGAAGCTATCAACAGTTTGGATTGCTTGAAACCGTTCTTGATGCTGCGGCTCTCGACGGCATGCGAACGCTTACCGAACCGCATGATCCGGGCCACATAACCAGAGCGCTCGTGCGATCATTGGTTGCCGAGGGTTTTGATGCCTTCTGGGACAAGACGGGGTTGAACGGGCCGTACGGCGTGAAAGTGAGTTGGCGAAGCGCCTTGAATCGCGCAACTCAAGCACGACGCCGTGCACGGAAGTTGCGAGTTAGAACGGCACATACAAACGAGCATGATACGGAGGCGTCATCTCCCAAGATTTGCGCAACACCAAGAGCGATCTCCCCATCCTATTCTTGTCGTGCCCCAAGTATCATTTGGGACGACAGCGAGCCGCTTCTGGGGCTTGAAATGTTGGCAAACCCGTCAAAGGCTCGAGTGGCTCACGAAGCCTCTGAAAACACGTCGCCCAGATAACGGGAATGCGCCAAAAGAGCCCATTTTGCAATTCTGTACACCTCCAGTCACAGTATCCAAAGCCAGTGTATTTTGCGCGCAAAATGGAGTAGCCATCTT